TTATGTTCTTCTGGGCCTTTGTACTTGCTCCTCTACCTACAATGTGCTGCCACGGTATCTTAGGTCTTCTCATTCAAGCTACACCCAAATGTTACATCCTCAGGAAAGAGGTGTGTATCTCCACCACTTCACTTACTAACATATTAGCACTTCACCCCTTATCACTCTAGAAGTTACTTATATATTGACTGTTTATTGTTTATCTGACCATCACAAATAGTGCAAACTCCACAAAAAAAGAATAGACCTGGTCTGTCTTTTTCACATAGAATTATATCTAAGACAAAGTAAACACTCCAAAATTATTTTCTGAAGAAATGAATGAGATAGATGGTGACTGTCAATTTCTTTCATCTCCATACATGTATACCACACCTTCCATCAAGAAGAAGAGTTGTCCTGGTTGGCATGGCTCAGTGGTTGAGTGATGACCTATGAACCAGGAGGTCATGGTTTAATTCCTGGTCAGGGCACATGCCCAGGTTGCAGCCTCCATCCCTAGTGGGGGTGTGTAAGAGGCAGTGATCAATAATTCTCTCTCATCATTCATATTTCTACCTCTCTCTCCCTCTCCCTTCCTCTCTGAACCAATAAAAATATATATATTTTTTTAAAAAAGGGCTTTCAATGCCTTTAAATCTGAGCTGGTCTTATGCTTTACTTTTGACCAATAGTATTCAGTGAACCTAACATTGTGCCAGTTCTGAGCCTACCCACTCTTGTCTTGAGTCTTGAGATACCCCTTAAAGAGCTCCAACAATCGGCTAAAGAGAGAAGCCTTGAAGGATCCAAGAGTGTGCAGAGGAAGAGTGAAGCTTAACCAGCCATCAGCCCCGCTTAGATACCAGACTTTGAATGACGTCTCTTAACTACTTCATTCAGCTTGCAGCTACACAAGATTGAGGCAATAAGCACCATGGGGAATGGAGGCAAGGTGTCTCTGCCCAGCAATGCCCAAATGCAGAATCTGAAAAGGTTGCTGTTGCTTTTAAACAAAAGAATTTGGCGTGGTTTGCAATGCAGCAATAGATGCCTGAAATAGTCATTGGTACCAGAAACTGGGTGCTGCTACAGCAAAAATTGCAAATATATCTCTCGGCCTTGGAACAGAGTCTGGGCAGGCAATAAAGAGCCTATTAGTAAGAGCTGGAAGCAAAATGAGAAAACTGCTATTAGAGGCTAGAAAAAGTAAATGCTTATTAAGCAGTGGTAGAAAAATTAGCAAGACTATCGTTTGCATAATTCAGAACATAATAAATGTTCCTGATGAGGCTAAAGAAGGAACTGTTCATCTTTGAAGAAAAATTTAGAGAAACTATAGTGACCCCAAGTATCTCTAGCTGATAAAAGATTCTCAAAGTAAGAAATGGGCACAGAGCAAAGATGCCAGGAGTACAGAACTGAAGGTAAAGATTTCTATTTACCTTTATGATGGGTGTGGCTGCAAAACCCCTTTGTTAAAACTCTAGAAGAACTAAAGCAGCACCTCACAGATTCTCTCAGCAACATGAAAGTATTTAGAAGAATCCTAAGATTATTCTATAGCAGCCTGACTCACAGACGGAATATGGAAGGGCCTGCAAAGAGATGCATGGGTGTGACTTTGTCTCAACAAGTGAATTATAATACAGATGATAAAAACCAAGTTTTTAAAAGAAGTTGTGGTAACTTGGGGGAAAAAAACCCAGATAGTATCAGTTCAAAATGAAAGGAAACTTTGGATCCTTTCATGGGCAGGAAGTAGGCTAAGAAATAACTCCACTAGAAATAGGAGCCATTTCTTGCAGAAAAGGAAGTAAGTCTCAGAGAGCAGAACTAGAGGGCACACCAAGTCCTAAGTAGGAACATGTCCCAGCCCCAGGAGAGGGGCCCTGATAACTTGTCCAGCAGGATTTCAGGACTGCTGAGGAAAGAATCTGCTCACAGCCTTCACAGAATAACAGTTAACAATTTTTCTACTAAAAAATGAGAAAGCTAGTCTAACTATATAAAATATGATATTGAACAACAAACAGTGCAAACATGTGACCTTGGAGAGTATGGAATTAAAGGAGATAAGTCTCATGATGACTTCAGGCTTGCACACAGAGGCATCTGCCAGACCCTGGGACTGGATGAGGGCTTTAAAATAACAATAGTTTTGCTGAGCTAAGGAGACAGAAGTTGTAGTTTGGGGAGGTAGAAGCGGCTGGAGGGCATTTTGCCAAAAAAAAAAAAAAAAAAAAATCTTGAATTCTACATTGAGGTCTTCTTGAATCTTTGTCTAAATACCAAGTCTTTGGTCTAAATACTAAATAAACACACAAAGGGTAGAACTCCACAGGGTTAAACAAAGAACAATCACCAGGGGAAGAACAATAACCAAGGATAATAGAACAGAATAGAGGATGGAAAAAGAGAGAAAATCAGTGACACTAAAAATGGTTCTTTTAAAAGCTTAATATATATATATATATATATATATATATATATATATATATATATATATATATATATATATATATATATATATATATAAAGCCTAAGCAGCCTTTACGACTGAATGACCGGTTGACAAGTCGTTATGACATGCACTGACCACCAGGGGGCAGACGCTCAATGCAGGAACTGCCCCCTGGTGGTCAGTGTGCTCCCACAGCCAACCTCATGCGCCCTGCTTGGCCACCATTGCCTCCTCTCCCAACCCTACTGGGGTCTTTGGGCCCTGGGCTGGGCGGCAGACACAACCCCTTTCCCAGAGGGGCCAAGGGCCAGCTCCCTCCTTAGGGCTGGCAGCCAACCTCCTGTGCCCCACCCCTCTCCCCTGCTGGCAGGCCCCAATTGGCCCACCCGCAGCGGTGGCGACACAGCGGTGAGGGAAGGAGGAGGGGGAGAGGCGGGGAAACCACGCAGTGGCAGGGTGCCAATGGCAGTGTCCGGCTTCCGTTCCTTCTGCACCTGGCCCAGTGACTGTCCCTCCTCTCCCGACCCCGCCAAGGCCTTTGGGCCTCAGGCTGGGATGGGGAAATAGGGGAGGATGGTGGTGGACGCAGCCCCTTTCCCAGGGGGGCCGAGGGCTGGCTCCCTTCTCAGGGCCAGTGGCCAACTTCCCATGCCCTATCCCTCCCCCTGGCCAGCAGGCCCCAATTGGCCCGACTCTGATTGGCCCTGATCTCTGGCCAGGCCTAAGGACCCCACCTGTGCATGAATTTGTGCACTGGGCCTCTAGTATATTAATAACATACTAGGGAGAATGATTAAGAAAAATGGATGTCACAAATTGCTAACATCATAAGTAAAACAGGGAACAATCTACAGACATTACACAAAAAGTAAGATGACAATGAATTTGAAAAGTTATATGGAATGGACAAGTTTCATGACAGACATAAATGAAACGGTACAAGAAAAAGTTAGAAGAGCCACATCTAAAAACTTTCCCACAAAAATAACATCAGACTAGATAATGTCACTAATAAATTTGATCAAAGTTTTATGGGACAAATAATACAAACTCATATATTTTTCAGAAAACAGAGGGAGAGGAGACACTTTCCAACTAATTTTGAGGCCAGAATTCCTCTGATAACAATACTAGTCAAAAACATTACAAAATATGTTTGGTCAATATAGGTCCAAAAATCCTTAACATATTATTTACAAGTCAGATATAGTAATATATAACAAGGATAATACATAACAACCAAATATAGTTTATCATAGGAATATAAAGTCGCTTTCACACTTGCAAATCAAAGAATGTAACTCATGACATTAACATAATAAATGGAAAATATATTGATAAAATACTTAGTTAAAATACATTGAAATAAAATACTAAGGTAAAATATATTGAAATATATTGAAAGAACCCCATTTTTTAATTCTTAATATGGAAAAATCTTTGCTGCACGGTGTTAAATTAATAATATTAAGATAAAAATTATTTATTTTTTCTACTAAATTAGAGAAAGGAGGTAAATCACAAAATAGTAACTATGTTTAACTCTTAACTGGCTGTATACTTTCTCCTCTGGAACTTCCATTATTTCCTAACTTTCACCATGCCATACTTCTTGTTTCTTTGTAAATTTATTTTGGGTTAAGATGGAGGCATCTATTTAAAATCTAATGCTTCTTACTATCATCATAACAAATAGTTATTTTTAAATACATTGCCAATATCCTAATCTTATCAATATTTTTAATATCCTTTAGCTTAAACAACTTAAAAATCAAACCAGAGAAGACTTGTACTTTAAAAGTTCACTCTTCCACCTTAGCTGACTTGGCTCAATGGATAGAGCGTCAGTCTGCAGACTGAAGGGTCCTGGGTTCGATTCCAGTCAAGGGCACATCCCCAAGTTGAGGGCTTGATCCCCAGTAGGGGGTGTGCAGGAGGCAGCCAATCAATGATTCTCTCTCATCATTGATGTTTCTATCTCTCTCTCTCCCTCTCCATCCTCTCTGAAATCAATAAAAATATTTTTTTAAAAAGGTTCACTTTTCCGATGTTAAATACAGCTTTAATTTAGAACCAAAGAAAAATAATCAATAAAATTGTTTTTAAGGGGGCCCCTGGCCAGTGTGGCTTAGTTGGTTGGGCATCATCCCATGCCCCAAAAGGTTGCTGCTTCAGTTCCCAGTCAGGGCACATTTCCAGGTGGTGGATTTAGTCCCAGGTCTAGGGTGCTTACTGGAGACAAACAATCAATGTTTCGCTCACATTGATGTTACTCTCTCTATCTCTCTCTCTCCCCCCCCTCCTTTAAAATCAATAAAAACATATTAAAAAACAAACAACTGTTTTAAGGGGTAAAAAAGCACAGAAGAGAAAAGAAATCTGAAGCATCAAATCTTTGACTCTGCAACTTAATAAAAACAATCCATAACTGTGTGACCATGTAATTAACATCATCTATACTATTACAACATCAATGACAATGTCTCAGCTGACTGCATCCTTTCAGTTCAGATTGAATTTCCCAGTAAAGGATGGTTGGTAAAATCTTAAAATCTACCTGTCAAATGATGGCTTCTCTCCACAGTCAAAGGCATCCTGGAGCTCCTTGACAAGGTTAGCCTGGCCTGGCAGCCGGAAGAGCCCCTCTTCCTTCAGCCCCCTCTGTCGGATGAAGTCCACGCACTGCTCCACCAACATGGGAGCCAGGCGGTTCCCATATCTCTTCTCATAACGGACAGTCTCCTCCAGTTTCTGCCCAAAGATGCCTGAAGAAATAAAAAAAAAATCACAATGAATATAAGAAATGTATCTCTTCCCACTCTGATGCTTTCTTTTAAAACTCAATGTAAAGGGAAAAGAAAGATTGGAATGCTAGCAAGCATTTCACATTTGGAACCTCACATTCTTACAGAATCAAATTCAAGAAAAATACCTGTTGCATGTTCAAATTATGTAATACCCCAGCGATGGGTGGGGAATTATTTTAAATTGCAAAAGGGAGTAAAATAGCATACCTTTTTTGTGCTCCAACGCGGTAATGACTAAACTGTCCCTGTGTATGCCATGCAGCGTATCAGTATTTCTCTCATTTAACACTCACAGGACTCTGTGAGGGAGGCACCACCAATATACCCTCAATTTTATTGAGGAGGAGACTAAAGCATAGAAAGATTGAATAATTTGCTGAATGTCACACAGCTAGTAAGTGGTGAGCCAGGTTTGTTCGAGGCTGTCGGATCCAGAGTCATTCTGTTTGTATAACACAGCAGCTATAACAAGTGCTGCGTGCGTAGTGTGCAGAATGACTAAACACTGAGCCATGGCGGAAGTAACCTGCCAGCTTGCTAGCTTGCCTACCTCAGTGCTTGTTGTCGTACTAGGATGGGTGATTTCTGCTGAGTGTAAATTTATGAGAAGGTCAGAAAAATAAAAATGAAGCAAAAAACTGAATATTTATGAGTATGCTACCCAAGGAAACTCTTTTTTTTATGTAAAGAGCTATGCCTATTTAGCATATCATATGTGAGAGTTACAGTATGTAGACAGTAGTAACATATATTTAGAAATTCCTGTGGGAAATCATAGTTTCTCCTCTAGATCTAGCCTTGATATGAATGATAATAGATGTACACTTCCCATTATGTAGCATGTAAATAGGATGTCCCAAGTGTCTCTGGCTTGCATGGTTGGCGTGAGTTAACCTCCAGTATAATAATTTTTATGAGGAAAGTGAGGGGGAGAAATTTTTTTTTAATGTTTTATTTACAATTTTCTTTGAGGGAGCAGTGAAACTTTAAATTTTAAAATTAATAAAAAAGAACAAAGGTTATGAGCTATTCCCAACTAGCAGCATAGGAAAAAGACATATTGATTAGTAGATTATTAAAGGAATATTCTCTGTTACGTGAGTCAGCAAACAGTTCCCACTATGCCCATGTAAATTCCCAGTGAGGTTTCATACTCCCTGATAAAATCTTGCCAGAATTTCTGGGGTGATGACAGTACATCATGCATACCTCCCCTAAAAGAACATTGTTGGTGCCATAAAGCATTACCAAGGACATGAGTTTTCATTGGACTGAGAAAGAAAATCACACAGGTGAACTTATTATATCTGTGTGAGGCTGTTTAAACTGGAGGGAGAAGGAGAGGGGGAGGGGAGGGAGAAGGGGAGGGAAGGGGGAGGGGGAGGGGAGGGAGAGGGAGAGGGAGAGGGAGAGGGAGAGGGAGAGGGAGAGGGAGAGGGAGGGAGAGGGAGAGGGAGAGGGAGAGGGAGAGGGAAAGGGAGAGAAGAGAAATCTAAGCAACCTTCAGGGTTTGCGAGATTCCTCCTTTACTGTGATTTATAAAACAAATAGCTAGAGGCAGCCAGTGAAGGTAGTGAATGTGATCAGATAGATATATTCAAATTCCATTAATCCTAAAAACTAAACAAATACAAGGCAAATCTTGGACTCTCTGCATCCTGTAATTTTTCTCTTTGCTCCTAGTATCCCAGGTATTACTCTGGCTTCAGTCCATCCCTTTCTATCTTCTTGCTTACCTACTGCACTTTGGCCTATGATACCACCATGCCACTAAAATAGCTTTTTTAGCCCTGATCGGTTTGGCTCAGTGGATAGAGCGTCGGCCTGCGGACTGACTGAAGGGTCCCAGATTCGATTCCGGTCAAGGGCATGTACCTTGGTTGCGGGCCCATCCCTAGTTGGGGGTGTGCAGGAGGCAGCTGATCGATGTTTCTCTCTTATCGATGTTTCTAACTCTCTATCCCTCTCCCTTCCTCTCTGTAAATAATCAATAAAATATATTTTAAAAAAATAGCTTTTTTAGCCCTAGCTGGTTTGGCTCAGTGGATAGAGCGTCAGCTTGCGGACTGAAGGGTCTCGGGTTAGATTCCAGTCAAGGGCACATGCCCGGGGTTGGAGGCTTGATCCCCACTAGGGGGTGTGCAGGAGGCAGCTGATCAATGATTATCATTGATGTTTCTATCTCTTCTCTCCCTCTCCCTTCCTCTCTGAAATCAATAAAAATATATTTAAAAATAAATAAATAAAAGAGCTTTTTTAGCAACTTTCTAGTTGCCAAATCATTGACAGCTTAATTTATTTTTGTAATACTATATGCCCCACTCCCCTTAAAATTATCAATCTCACTCTTCTTCCTGATACTGTTCACATGTCACATAATTCTTGCCTTCCAGAATACTCTTCCCAGTCTCCTTTTTGATATGCTACCTACTCCCCCTTCTCATAGGTTTGCTGGTTCCCTGGGTTATGTCCTCAGCCCTGTTTTCACCTTACTTGTCACAATTCCTTTGCTGGACTCCACTTAATTTCACTGCATATCAATTATTCCCAGATCTGTGTCTCAATTTGGGCCACTCTGTGGTCTCTAGCATTACATTTCTAAGTGCCATTAGAACCCTCAACATGGGTATCTCAAGTTCAAAATGTCTAAAACTGGCTAACTAATCTTTTCTTCAAAACCTGTTCCACTTCCTATAGTTCTGATTTTAGTTATCAGTTCCAGCGATACACCCCCCCAAATCATGGAAGTGCCATCTGAGAGCCAAGCTAGATTCCTCCCTCCTTCACTACCCTCATTCACTCACCAGGTTGGTCCTTTCCAGGGTCATTACTACTACAATGGGCTAGATCCTCAATATTTCCTAAATGACTTTTTGGAAAGTCCCAAATCCTAGTAAGTGTTGCCACAGCGACCTTCATAGTATTTAAATCAGATCGTGCCATTCTTTTGCTGCATTTCTTCCAATGGTGTCTGCCACTGGCCAACGAAACTCCTTTGCATGAAATACAAAGTCTCCACAATGTGACCTCCGTCTTTTTCCACTGTCTTTTTCCATCAACAATGTTTAGGTGACATCCATTATGTGCCAGGCACTGTGCCATATCCACCCTCATTTCCGCGGCTTCTTCACAAACAACATGCTAACTATACTGAACAATTTGTTGCTTTCTTCTAGAAGGTAAGACCTGCAATCACCAGTTAGCCTAGAAAAATTTATCCTGCAAGATGCAACTTATATCATCTCCTGTGTTAATTAAGACTGTATTACCATTCTCTCACCCCCATCCTAGAAGCAAAGCTTGGTAAATTTCTTCTTTGATGTCTTAACACGTTGCTATGTAAGAATTTCCTTAGATGACTCTCTGTACTGAACTAGTCCCTCAGTAGTCAAAAGAGGAATGGGTTTTCATTATTATTATAGTAAGAGAATTAGTTTTCATTTATTATTATTATACAATAGAGGCCCGGTGCACAAAATTTGTGCACTGGGGGTGGGAGGTGTGTCCCTCAGCCCAGCCTGCACCCTCTCCAATCTGGGACCCCTCCAATATGACATCCCTCTCCTTATCTGGGATTGCTGGCTCCCAACTACTTGCCTGCCTGCTAGCCTGATCACCCCCTAACCACTCCCCTGCCAGCCTGGTGGATGCCTAACTGCTCCCCTGCTGGCCCGATCGCCCCCAATTGCCCTCCCCTGCCAGCCTGGTTGCCCCCAACTGCCCTTCCCTGCAGGCCTGATTGCCCCCAACTGCCCTCCCCTGCTGGCCATCTTGTGGCTGTGGGCACTACCATCTTTGAGGGTGTGGCAGTCAATTAGCATATTCCCTCCTTATTGGCTCTGGGCACTGCCATCTTTGAGGGTGGGGCAGTCAATTAGCATATTCCCTCCTTATTGGCTGTGGGCGCTGCCATCTTTGAGGATGGGGCAGTCAATTAGCATATTCCCTCTTTGTTGCCTGTGGGTGCCACCATCTTTGCAATGGTGTGAGGGTCAATTAGCATATTCCCTCTTTATTAGATAGATTGAAAAACAGTTGTATACTACATATCTTATGAACTTTAGAGAGGCTTTGGTAATCTTTATGATGCCATATACACAAGGAATAAAATGGGGTGGCATCAGATCTGAAGGACTCCAAGATTCACATTCCATTCTACCATGCTGCTCTGATCTGAATGTGTCTGTTAAAAATTCCTGTGTTGAAAACCCAAGGCCTGAGATGATGGTAGTAGGAGGCCAGGACCTTTGGGGACTGATCAGGTCAAGAGGGCAGAGCTCTCATGAATGGGATTAGTGCCTTTATAAAAGGGATCCCAAAGAGCTCTTTCATTCCTTCCCTTTCTGTCAGGTGAGAATGCAGCAGGAGGCTCAAAGTTTGCCACCTGGAGGAGGGCTCTCACCAGAATGCAGCCATCCTGGCCTGGTGTCAGAGTTCCAGCCTCCAGAACTATGAGAAATAGATATCTGAGGTTTACAAGCTACCCAATCTCTGTCATTTTGTTATAGAGACCTGAACTGGCTAAGACACAGGCAAACTCTCTTGCTTCTATCCCTGGGACTTAATACTGCAGTGAGTAAGGATTGACTATTCCGTAAATATTTGTAGAATTAATGAGTTCATTGAAGCAAAGTATTTTACCTCCTCAATTATAGGAAATATAAGAATAACTTCAAAGTAAAAGGGAACTCAATAGTTCTCAGGTTGTGGCATTGATTTCTATAAAAACTTGAAAATAAAAAAATCCTTAGTTTGCTGACGAGAAACCAGAAGTTTAAAAGCATTTTGGTTATTGCTCCAATTCTTTGTTATCAGTTATTTTTCAGAGTTCGCCATTCCTCCCTTCCTATAGATCACGTGCTGAGCCATAGAGAGAATTTGCTTTTACTTATTCTTCTGCTACTGTAAACCTGGTAACAGAATAAGTCTTGGTACCAGGACTATAATATTTTTCTATT